GTGCCGTGACGTCAGCCTAGCTCACAGCAACCTCAAACTCCTGGGCTCAAGTGATCCTCCTGCCTCAGCCTCCCGAGTAGCTGGGACTATAGGCATGCACCACCATGCCCAGCTAATTTTTTCTATATATATTAGTTGGCCAATTAATTTCTATTTATAGTAGAGACGGGGTCTCACTCTTGCTCAGGGTGGTTTTGAACCCCTGACCTTGAGCGATCCGCCTGCCTCGGCCTCCCAGAGTGCTAGGATTACAGGCGTGAGCCACCGCTCCCGGTCCAGATTCTTAAATAACAGAATTCAAACACAGATACATACACACACACACTCTCTCTCTCTCATATATATGATCTATTATATACTTCATCTTATGTTTTAAAATATACGTTTCTATTTTATTGTCAAAAGTACTCATTAGGCAGGGCACGGTGGCTCAGCCCGTAATCTTATCACTCCGGGAGGCAGAGGCGGGTGGAATGTTTGAGCTCAGGAGTTCAAGACCAGCCTGAGCAAGAGCGAGACCCCGTCTCTACTAAAAATAGAAAGAAATTAGCTGGACAACTAAAAATATATATAGAAAAAGTTATCTGGGCATAGTGGGGCATGCCTGTAGTCCCAGCTACTAGGGAGGCTGAGGCAGAAGGATTGCTTGAGCCCAGGAGTTTGAGGTTGCTGTGAGCTAGGCTGATGCCACAGCACTGTAGCCCAGGCAATAGAGTGAGATTCTGTCTCAAAGAAAAAACGTACTCATTAAAATCATGTTTACAAATAAAGCTTTGTCATCCACAGTGACAATTCCAGATGAAAGAAAAATTTCAATGGGGAGGGTCTTGAGAAATCTGCTAATGCAGTTTACTTTTAGGGCTAGGAAAAGGGCCCCCAAGCGTGGTTCTAAGAACATTCCATTCTGAAAATGTACAGTCACACTTACTTTTCCTCTGCATCCCTGTTTCTGACCCTTGACAGAGTTTGGTTGGTTAGGCAGAGCCTGGTGAGAGAGGATGGGCCACGTGGGGGCTGCCGGCACAAGTGACTCCCATGAGCTCTGCTCTGAGCCTGCTGTCTTTGGTTAATGGAACTGGAAACAGACCCCATCCCTGAGCTGCCAAGTTCAGACTTTGTGCCAGGAGGCAGATCACTGTCCACAAAACAAGAGAGGAATACAATCAAAAAGTCCTAAATTCTCAAAGTTGTAACAAAATCAGACCTGAACAAAAGTAGAGAGAAAGCTGGGCACGGTGGCTCATGCCTATAATCCTAGCACTCTGGGAGGCTGAGGCAGGCGGATCTCTCAAGGTCAGGAGTTCGAAACCAGCCTGAGCAAGAGAGAGACCCCATCTCTACTAAAAATAGAAAGAAATTAATTTGCCATCTAAAAATATATAGAAAAAATTAGCTGGGCATGGTGGCGCATGCCTATAGTCCCAGCTACTTGGGAGGCTGAGGCAGAAGGATTGCTTGAGCCCAGGAGTTTGAGGTTGCTAGGAGCTAGGCTGACGCCACGGCACTCTAGCCCGGGCAACAGAGTGAGACTCTCTCTCAAAAAACAAAAACAAAAACAAAAGTAGAGAGAAAACTTTTGAACCCGAAGAGGGTGTTTAGGTGGAAGAGCCTACACAGTGGTGACTGCTCAGTTCCTGGGTGGGACCAGTTTGAGGTAGGACCAGTTTAGGCTAGGGCAAGTTTGGGGTAGGACCAGTTTGGGCTAGGACCAGTTTGGGGAATGACCAGTCTGGGGTAGGACCAGTTTAGGCTAGGGCCAGTTTGGGGTAGGACCAGTTTGGGGAATGACCAGTTTAGGCTAGGGCCAGTTTGGGGTAGGACCAGTTTGGGGAATGACCAGTTTGGGCTAGGGCCAGTTTGGGGTAGGACTAGTTTGGGGAATGACCAGTTTGGGGTAGGACCAGTTTGGGGTAGGGCCATTAGACAATGGAAACCCAGTGTATTCGGGAGACAATCTGCATGCTCCCAACAATGAGCTGCAAGTGGGTGCCTGTGTCACCAGCCCCCAGTGGTGCTCAGAGCCTGCCTGCCCAGCTTGTGGCATCAGAACAGCCTGGCTGAACATTTGCCGAGACCCCAGTTTAAGCAGAGCCGACCCTGTGCTGGCCAGGGAGAGAGCCACATACTCACCCCTGCACTTGCAAAACGCTCTGCCTGAAGCCAGCCACCCACAGCTGGCCCCACAACACGCACATCTTGACTTCCCGCCAACTCCTCCTCAACTGTCAAGATTCAGCTCACATGTCACTGGCTTTGTGAAGCTGCCCTTGCAGTCCCCAAGCAGACCTAGTGTTTCTTCTCCACTCCTACAGCACCTCGTGTGACAGCATGAGTAATCGGCTGTAATGATGTGAGAGTGGCCGTCACTATTAGGGTGTGAGCCCCTCCAAGGCCACTTGGCCCCTTTTCAACTCCAGAGTCCAGGGCCCAGCAGGCAGCAGCTACTTAGTGTGCATTTACTGAATGGAAAAATAAATGAATTAACAAACGAACAAGTGATGGTTGTGTAATAAACATATGGCGAGATCAGGTCTGTTTTTTGAGTTAACCCTGCCATCCAGGAAAGGCCCAAGGAAGCACAGACCAAGCTGAAAGCATTTTTTCTAGTCCAAGGGAGATATGGCGGGAGTCTGGCCCAGGGTGGAAGAAGAGGTCAGGTTTGAAACAGATTTATTCAGAGAAAAAGATTTTAGAACTAATTGGCTATTGAGGTGATGAGGAGAAGAATGATGCTAGACTTTCGAGATGCTGACATCATTGTCTGGAAATGCAGGGGGATGAGCAATTTTGGGGAAAACACTAAGTTCATTTTTAGAACTATTAGGAGGGATGTTTTGGAGATAGTTAGAAATAGAGGCCTGGGCCGAGCACGGTGGCTCACACCTGTAATCCTAGCACTCTGGGAGGCCAAGGTCGGCGGATCGTTTGAGCTCAGGAGTTCCAGACCAGCCTGAGCAAGAACGAGACCCCATCTCTACTAAAAAAAAAAATGGTGGTGCATGCCTGTAGTCCCAGCTACTCGAGAGGCTGAGGCAGGAAGATCACTTAAGCCCAGGAGTTTGAGGTTGCTGTGAGCTAGGCTGACGCCATGGCACTCTAGCCTGGGCAACACAGTGAGACTCTGTCTCAAAAAAAAAAAAAAATAGAGGCCTGGAGCTTGGACGGGAACTCAGGGCTGTAGATAGAGATTTAAGAGTTATCTGGCTATAGCTAGCAATTTAAGTAATAGTTTGGATGGATAAATATATCAGTTATATTATCCACTATGTAGACTAAGAGGAGAACCATAGAGAGAATCTTAGTGTAATTGTCAGGGCAGGCTAACCGCTGTAAGAACCAACTCCAAAATCTCAGTGGTATAACTCAAGAGAAGTTTTTTACTTGCTTTTGTAACAGTTTATTGCTTCTACAAGGCCATTCCGGGACCCAGTCTTCTTCCACTGTGTGGCTCTCTGATTCTTCAAGGCTTAGAGCGTTTGCTTTCAACCAGCTGATGGGCGGGGGAGAGAGTGGGCTCCTGTGAAGGCTTTCATGGGCAGGTCTGGAAACTGTAGTCCTCACTTTTGCCCACACCCCATTGGGCAGAATTCAGTCACGTGACTGCCTTGGTGTAAAGGAGGCTAGGAAATGTGGCTCAGCAAGGTTCCCAGGAGGCAAAGAGACACAGTCCCCATCACACTGTGGGAACACTAAAATGTGGGGGCCGGATGTTGGAAGAAGGGCCTGCAAAAGGAGCCTCAAAAGATGGACCAGGAGAAAAATGACATTTGGGGAAAAAAGGGAGAAGAAAATTTGGAGAAGGGCTGGCAGAAGCAGGCAGAGGACTGGAATGAGGGAAGCAAGGTGCGAGGGTGAGAGTGAGCCTAGGGTGACGCCTCCTTGACTTTTGTGCCCTGGGTGCCTGGCTCATGGTACCCTAGCTCCAGTCCTGGAAGGCAAGTGCCACACAGGAAGAAATGGGAGAAAGCTGGGAAGATGCCAGTGGGTTTGCAACCAGTGGTCCCTGTGAGCAACTTTAGCAAGAGATTTCCGATGAAGAAAGGAGGGCCCTTGAGGTTCTTGGACAGGAACTTGCCTGAAGTCCTTGTACCGGTTATTGGCAGTTTCCCAGATTTCCTGTTCAGAAACTAAGCTCTGAGTTACCTGTGCCCTTACTGTTCCTTGGGAAGGGGAAAGGGAAAGGAAGTGGGTATTAATTAGTTGACTCTGTGACACTTGCAGAGTTTTCTCAGCTGATTCTCAGTAGAGCCCAAGAGGTAGATGTTATTCCATTTTGTAGTTAAGGAGATTGAGGCACAGAGAAAGGGAAAAAGGTATTTCAGATCAAAAAGCATGGAGGCCGGTCGCGGTGGCTCACGCCTGTAATCCTAGCACTCTGGGAGGCCCAGGCAGGCAGATCACTCAAGGTCAGGAGTTCGAAACCAGCCTGAGCAAGAGCAAGACCCCATCTCTACTAAAATAGAAAGAAATAATTTGGCATCTAAAAATATATAGAAAAAAATTAGCCAGGCATGGTGGCGCATGCCTGTAATCCCAGCTACTCGGGAGGCTGAGGCAGGAGGATGGCTTGAGCCCAGGAGTTGGAGCTTGCTGTAAGCTAGGCTGATGCCACGGCACTGTAGCCCAGGCAACAGAGGGAGACTCTGTCTCAAAACAAAACAAAACAAAACAAAAACAAACATAGAAATAGGATTTGAACCCAGCTCCAAGGCCTGTGACTGTCCCAGAGCACATTCTTCCATCCCCAGCATCATACCCTGGGCAGGGCAGGGCAGGGAGGGCTGTGGGTGGGCAGAGAACAGGGCCTCCAGTTCCTTTCACTGGCTGGCGCCAGGGAAGACAAGAACTTGGGGCTTCCCAACAGAGAGCACACTGAAGTGTGGAAAGCAGAAAGTGCTGGAGGAGGCAGGAGGGAGGCCGGAGAGGGGGAAGGGCTGGTCTGGCTGCTGTCCAGCCCCTCCCCCTCCCCAGTGGCCCCACCCCCTCCTTCGGCCTGGCTTCTCAGAGCGCTGGACCTGAGCAGTGGACACACAAGCCCTGACAGCTCCAAGTCGCCATGGACGCTGAAGGTAAAGGGGCACTGTCCCCAGTGTCCCTGCACCCCGGTCTCCCCCATTGCCTTGGCTCTTTCCCCAACCCGACCTGACTCAGCCCTTGGGGAAACTATCTCCCCTCTGGTCTTCCCATGGGATGGTCCACTCTCTTACCACCCCGTGAGCTGCCAACCCCCCTGAACCCCCACAGGCCTCTTCTCATCTTCTTTCTCCTTTTATGTTGTGTCCCCAGAGAGCTCTGGGGAAGAAAGGGGCTTGAGGCCCGAACAGGGCAGGAGCAGCCTAGGGGAGGTGGCGTCCCCTGAAGGCAGGGGCCTGGTGGGGCAGCCCTGGACTTTGGGCCTCACTGGACACTCAGATCAAGCAGAGGCAAAGTCCCAGGCCATTCGTGGCTGGGTGGGGGAGGGGCCTGAGTCCTGGGAGTCCCTGGAGGCCGAGATCAGAGCCAGAGGAGGCGGGCTCTGGAGTCAAAAGGCTCCACCAGGGACAGACCATGTGACCTTGGGCAGGCCCCTGACTTCTCAGAGCCTCATTTCCTTGCATTGGTAAAATGACAATAATAGTTCCCTGCTCACAAGATTGTGGGGAGGACTGATGACAGGAGGCATGGGGTGCCTGTGCTTGGGGCACAGGAAGCCCTTCCTTAAGCCCCCTGTCTTGTCTCCTCCTCCTCCTCCTCCTCCTCCTCCTCCTCCTCCTCGTTTCTCCCTGGGGACTCTCCCCAGCCTCTGACCCCCTCCCTCTGTTTGGAGTGCCTGTTGGCCCTACATACTCAGCCCGTCTCCTTGGCTGTGGAGCCAGCTCTTGGGGCTCCCCTGTGGGGTGGCACACAGGGTACCTTTCAATCCTGGTTGTGTCTTTCTCTTTTGAAATAACACCACTGGATTTGAATCCCGGCTGCTATTCGCCAACTGTGGGAACCTCGACATGTTTCTTTTTTATTTCGGCATTTTATGGGGGTACAGATTTTAAGGTTTCAATAAATGCCCTTTCCCCCTCTCCCCCCATCCTTGACAAGTTTCTTAACCTGTAGGGGCCTCAGTGTCCACACCTGGAGAATGGAGATGATGGTGCTGTTCTCGCAGAGCTGTAGCGAGAATTAGGTACCTTAGCAGATGTTGAGGTGCCTTGATCTGATTCCTTTAGGGCCGAGTTTCTTTACTGAGGGATCGTGGGTGGGCTTTGGGGGAGTTCATGCACCCCAAATTTGTATGTGAAATTGTGTGTCCAGAAGGAGATCTGTCATTTTTGTCAGATCCAGATTCTTAAAAAAGTAAATGAAAGGCCAGGCGCTGTGGCTCATGCCTGTAATCCTAGCACTCTGGGAGGCCAAGGCGGGTGGATTGCTCAAGGTCAGGAGTTCGAAACCAGCCTGAGCAAGAGCAAGACCCCGTCTCTACTATAAATAGAAATAAATTAATTGGCCCACTAATATATATAGAAAAAATTAGCCGGGCATAGTGGTGCATGCCTGTAGTCCCAGCTACTCGGGAGGCTGAGGCAGCAGGATTGCTTGAGCCCAGGAGTTTGAGATTGCTGTGAGCTAGGCTGACGCCACGGCACTCACTCTAGCCTGGGCAATAAAGTGAGACTCTGTCTCAAAAAAAAAAAAAAAAAAAGTAAATGAAAACCTCAAAATGTCAAGGACGTTCACTAATGACACACCCACCTCTGTGGCTTCCCCACCCGGTAGTTTTTGTTTGTTTTCGTAGAGACAAAGTCTCACTCTATCACCCAGGCTGGTCTCAAACTTCTGGGCTCAGAGGATGCTCTTGCCTCAGCCTCCCAAAATGCTGGGATTATACGTGTGAGCCACCATGCTCGGCCCACTGTGTAGTTTAGAAATGACTTCAGAGTTCGTTCCTTCCCTGCCACCTGCTAGCTGTGTGGCTTCGGGCGCGATGCTTAGCTTTCCTGTGCCTGTTTCCTCATTGATAAAGTGTGAACAGTGGTGAGGATTCAGTGAGATAATATGCATTATTATCTCAAGGGCTGGCATACAGAAACCCTAGTTTTGCTGGTGATGTTGTTGATTCCTCATGTCTGTATCTCTGGCACCTCCCCAGGTTCCAGTTCCGTTTTTTTTTTTTAAACAGATTCTCGCTCTGTCACCCTGGCTAGAGTGTAGTGGCGTCATTGTAGCTCACAGCAACCTCAAACTCCTGGGCTCAAGCGATCCTCCTGCCTCAGCCTCTCAAGTAGCTGGGACTACTGGTGTGTGCCACCACACCCTGCTAATTTTTCTATTTTTAATAGAAATGGGGTCTTACTCTTTTGCTCAGGCTGGTCTTGAACTCCTGAGCTCAAGAAATCCTCCCACTGCGGCCTCCCAGAGTGCCAGGATTATAGGCGTGAGCCACCGCGCCAGCCCCCGTTCCATTTTTAAACCCCCCGACTGTCCATTTCCACCTGATAGCTCCCTGGCATGTCAAACTCAAAGTCCTCGACTGCCACCCCTTCTTCCTTCTGACATCTCCATTTCTGTTCCTGCCTCACCATCCTCCTACTCAGACTGGAGACCTCACCATCACCTTTGGCTGCTCACTCTCCCTCGTCCCCTCAAATCCACAGTTGCCATGTGTCTTCCAGACATACGCCTGAGGCATCACGCGACCCTCTTTCCTTTCTGTGCCCACTGCCTATCCTCCTCCCCCAGCGGCAGCAGCCCGTTTGGAGGCATCCGCTGCCTTCACTCCTGTTCACATCTGCTGTTTAATAAGTAGAGTGGTTCGCCTGGGGCCAGTGAGGGGTGGCAGAGCCAGTCTGAGTGGCAGAGCCACTCAGGAATCCAGTGGTGTGGGCTTCTATGGCCCTGGGAGGGAAGCCCTCCCATTACAGCTTGCCCTGCTCGGCTCTTCTTGCCCAGGCCCTTACAACAGCCTCCCAACTTGCATCCTTTAGGGTTCTTGAAGGATGCAAGTGACTTCTGATCACAATTTTGTAGTGACTTCCCCTTGCCCAGTGAGCAGAACCCCGATTCCTCCTCTCATCCATGACCTGCTGTCCGGCCCTGCTGTACGATTCAGCCTTCGTCCCCATGCCCACCACCAGGCGCCGCCAGCTCCATGTGCCCCTGTGCCTCTGCTGCCTGGCCTGCGCTCCCCCATTCTCTGCCTGGCGACCTTTCCTCCTCCCTGTCAAATTCCAGCCCATTCTCAGAGACAACCTTTCCCAGCTTAACGACAGGTCGTCTCTCCCCACTCTGAGATTCTGCGCATCTTTCTACCACTCATGTAATGGCTGATCCACCACATTTGGCACTATTTGGAGGTCATTTCTCTTCCCTGGGGAGCGAAGGGGGAAGGAAAAGAACATTTAGCCAGAAGCCATGGTGCTGACCAGCCTCTGTCTCCATCTGGTGTTTGCCGAATGAATCAACAAATAAACAGATGAAAGACCAGTGTTGCCAGAGCCGGATGCCTGCTTGCAGACACCTGGCCCGGCATTGGGCCAGCGGTCTCTGTGCATTGCCTCATTCTGTCCTCCCAGCAGCCCCAGGATTTCCTTGTGAAACTGACACTCAAAGAGGTTAGCGACTTCTTCTTCTCTGTCTACTTTTGTGTGTGTTTGAAATTCTCCATAATAAAAAAGTGAAATAAACATAAGTAAAGGAGAGAGTGAGTCCCCACTTGAGATAGGATCAAGGACAGCTTTTTTAGGGTAGTGTATATGAAAAAAACAACAGTGTTTCTTTTTATACCCACTCAACACAGAACACTTCTGTGACCAGACTGTGGGGTTTTTCCCACATCAACCAGCTCTCCGACACTAGCCTGGTGTCCTGCAATTCAGCTCCGATCTCTCACTAACCAGAGTTATGGAGGCCCCACAGATTAAGGGTTCAGCCTGCCAACACTGCCCCTGCTTCAGACGCCAAAGTCAAGTAGTGTGTTCCCAGGTGACACACAACTTCTGTGAGACTTGGCTACAAACCACTGGTTCTCACAACCCTCTCCTTTGGTTTGATCATTTGCTACAGCAGTCCGGAGAACCCAGGAAAACAATTTTCTTACTAATGGCAATTTATTGCCTGAGGTCACCAGGCATGTAAGTTAGGGGTAACGCGGAAACACAGTACAAATCAGCTAACAATCTAGGAATGCTCAAGGGAAGCAATCTTCATCTGTCCTGCCAGAGCCATTGGTTATGATTATCCCTTTACATTATTTGTAAAGGGAGAATAAGTACAGAAATTATCCCAAGATATTTGGATACTCTCAGAAACAGAGATGCCAATTTTTTTTTTTTTTTTGAGACAGAGTCTCAATTTGTTGCCCAGGCTAGAGTGAGTGTCGTGGCATCAGCCTAGCTCACAGCAACCTCAATCTCCTGAGCTCAAGCAATCCTACTGCCTCAGCCTCCCGAGTAGCTGGGACTACAGGCATGTGCCACCATGCCCGGCTAGTTTTTTGTGTATATGTGTATTGGCCAATCAATTAATTTTGTTCTATTTTTAGTAGAGACGGGGTCTCACTCTTGCTCAGGCTGGTTTCGAACTCCTGACCTCGAGCAATCCACCTGCCTCAGCCTCCCAGAGTGCTAGGATTACAGGCATGAGCCACAGAGATGCCAATTTTATTAGAGCTTTATTAACTGTGCATCAGAAAGGTCAATCAGATCAATCAGAAAGGTATCATTTTGAGGGATCAGGTTTACATCCCACAGGATAAAACCATCATCTCTGAAGTCCAGGCATCTTGGAAGAACTTTTACACATACAACCACAAGGATAGGACACTGGACAGGGTGGGTGCTGCTGTCTCCTTCACGGGTGCAGCAGCTCCTCGGATGAGCCCTGTGGGCGGCTTTCCTCTTGCAGCTGCAAAGCAGCATTCCTCTCTCTGGAGTGCCTTTCAGTAACAGCCGTGAATTAGGAGAGCCCTGCATTTCCAAAGCTACCCACAGGAATCCCTTTTGTTGGAAATGTTTGAGAGAGTTGAAGCCTAAAGAAAGCCAGATGTATTTATTTATTTTTCACAAATGGAACATGTAGCATGCAACATTCCACCTCTGCATTTGGTGATCAGAACAACTGATGTTGAAGAAGGGGGCGAGGAGGTGACCCCTGCGAGTGGGAGCAGCTGTGAGATTGTAAAAGTAGCAGCTGCAGAGAGGGAAGGCTGAATCTGCTTATTATTGTCCGGCTTCAGCATTTCCTAGCTCTGCTCTGTAGGTAATCTCCTCTTATATTTCTGAGCCTGGGTTCTCCATCGGTAAATAGGATGATACCTACCTTGAGGGACTGCAGGTAGGATTTGTGACAATATGTGGAAAGTGCCTGGCATATGGAAGCACCAATGTATGGTAGTGATTATTCTCTTCCTGTAGCTTGGAATCTCTTGACTCTTCTACAAATTACAATTACGTTGCCACATTCCAGACCAATTATATCAACATCTCTAGGGGTAGGGCCTGGGGGCTCCGGGGTCAGCATTTTGCCAAACTCCCCAGATGATTCCATTGTGCAGCTGAAGTTGAGAACCACTGCCCTACCCTATGACATTGTGACTTATAATAAGAAACATATATCTTGGTCCTCATCCCTGCTTCCTGACACAGAGCTCCTAATCTCTTGGAATTTCCTGGGCAATTGGAGTGTCTTTTGTTCTAATGAGGCAACTCTTGGTGGGCCCCTGGATGGGGGGCTGGACACCAAAAAGACCAAGCCATGATTATTAAATAGAAGCTTGGAATCTTCAGCTGTATCCCCCATCCTCTGGGAAGGGGAGAAGGGCTGGAGATTGAGTTAATAATCAATGGTGCCTATGTGACGAAGCCTCTGTAAAAATCCCTGAGTTATGATGTTTGGAGAGCTTCCGGGTTGTGGATCACGTGGAGGTGCTGTGAGGAGGACAGTGCGCCCAAAGAGGGCATGGAAGTCCCCCCCTTTCCTCCCCCTCCCCCCACACCTGCCCTGTTCATCTCTTCCTGCTGGCTGTTTGCCTGTGTCCTTTAAAATATTCTTTGTTCCAGGTAGTGGCTAAATTGTATATTAATTTAAAATAAATAAATAAATAAAATATTCTTTGTAATAAATTGCCATTAGTAAGAAAATTGTTTTCCTGGGTTCTCCGGGCTGCTGTAGCAAATGATCAAACCAAAGGAGAGGGTTGTGAGAACCAGTGGTTTGTAGCCAAGTCTCACAGAAGTTGTGTGTCACCTGGGAACATACTATTTGACTTTGGCATCTGAAGCAGGGGCAGTCTTGGCAGGCTGAACCCTTAATCTGTGGGGCCTCCCAAACTCTGGTTGGTGAGAGATCGGAGCTGAATTGCAGGACACCCAGCTAGTGTCGGAGAGCTGGTTGATGTGGGAAAAACCCCACAGTCTGGTCACAGAAGTGTTCTGTGTTGAGTGGGTATAAAAAGAAACACTGTTGTTTTTTTTTTATATACACTACCCTAAAAAAGCTGTCCTTGATCCTATCTCAGGTGGGGACTCATTCTCTCCTTTACTTATGTTTATTTCACTTTTCTATTATAGAGAATTTCAAACACACACAAAAGTAGGCAGAGAAGCATCACGACCCCGTGTAGCCCTCACCCAACCCCAACGCCACCAGCGTTTGGGCAGCCGGCCCCGACTCGCGTCTGCTTCTTACCTTCCAGTGTTTCAAAGCAAACCAGTCCCTGAATCCTTTCATACGTGAACATCTCAGCATGTTTTTTTCTAAAAGATAAGACCTTTTCTTTTTCCTACAGTACCATTGTCACCATTAAATTTTTAAAAATTTTCTTGATGTCATCAAATATCCAGTGTCCAAATTTTCAATTGTCTCATAAATGCTCCAGTTTGCTTTCAGTTTGTTTGTCTGAAGTAGGAACCAAAGAAGATCCACACATTGTGACTGGCTAGTAAGTGTTTTGAGATTCTTTTAATCTTTTGTTTTCCTTGCAATTTATTTGTTGAAGAAATTAGTCTATTTTCTGGCAGAGTTTTCTAGAGTCTGAATTTTGTGTGTTGTATCCACATGGTGTAGTTTAACATGTGCTTCTGTCCTCTGGTTTTCTTGTCAATTGGGGGTTGCTTCTAGAAGTCTGATCTGACTCAGGTTCAGCTATTTAGGTGAGAGAGCTTCACAGTGGTGGTATGTTTTCCTCCTTCTCCTCCTCTTCTTCTTCTTCTTCTTCTTTTTTTTTAAGGAGATGTGTTGTTGCCCAGGCTAGTCTTGAATGTTCATCCTGGGCTCCAGCGATCCTCCTTCCTCAGCCTCCTGAGTAGCTGAGACTACAGGCGTGAGCCACTATGCCTGGCTTGTCTTTCTTCTTGATGTTGGCCTTGGATGCTCAATGGCTGGATCCATTGGTTCACTAAGGGTTGCAAAATTATTCATGCCTTTCATCAGAACACTGATTCTCATTTGTTTAAGTGTTCAATGATTTTTAGTAAATTTACTGAGTCGTGCAGCTGTCAGCATAGAACATATCCATCACCCCAATAAGATCTCATGCCCCCCGAGCTAAAAATAGTTAATTCCTAGCCCCCAGCAATTTGCTGTCTGTCTCTATTGAGTTGCCTTTTCTGGACATGTCACGCCAGTGGAGGCACCATATGTGGTCTTAGTGCGCACTGGTTCTTAACCCTCCTGTGCATCTGAGTCAGGGGCAGGGCAGGGGGGCGAGGGGGGGCTGTTCCCAAACCTGGATGCCTGGAAACCACCTCCCAGAGATTCTGATTCAATTAGTCTGGAATAGGCCTGAGCATCCGAGAATTTGATAAGCTTTCCAGATGGTTCTAACGTGCAGCCCACGTTGAAGGCCCTGCTTTGTCAAGTTCTCCTGAAAGGAGTGGTTTGCAACCACTGCCTCCACTTCCCCACCTCCCCTGCACTCCTTGCCCATGACGTGGCTTCTGTCCCCACCACACAGCACTGAGACTGCTCTGGCAGAGGCCTCCGAGTTGCTAAGTCCATTTCAATCTTCCTTCTACTTGCTTCTGCTCACACCCTACTTCCTGAAACCCTCTTCTCCTTCCCAGACACCCACTGCTGGTGCTGCTTCTCTTTGTGACAGCCACACCTTTGTCTGTCCTTTCATGGCTGATGCTTCCCAGCATCTCTCCTGAACTCCAGAACTGTCCTCCTACCCACCCTCTGGACAGTGCCACATACATCTGCTGGAGTCTCAGCCTTAATCTCTGCAACACCAAACTCATTCTTTCCCCCCAACCCTGCTGCTGCTAAGCTGTGCTGCCAGGGCACAATTTGGGGAATTCTTTGAAATTCAGTTTCTGTACTTGCGAAGTAGGAAGAATCCCTTATAGTGAGTTCAAGATGAGAGCACATAAGAGGATGGCAGTGCCTGCAGCTGGCACATCACAGCACTCAGGCCAGTCACTTCCTGCTGTCCCCTCCTGGGCCCAAACTGCTCCTCTCTGAGAACAATGTCCTTCTGCCAGCTCTCAGCTACCCAGGACAGAGACTGAGGCTTCCACAGCTCATTGGCTGCTAATCTTGGTAGATTGTCCCTCAAAAACAGCTCTCATGTTTGCCCTATGGAACTGCAAAGCTCAAGTCTTCATCTCTTTTT